TTAATTTATGGGAAATTATAGATGATGCTTATATTGTGCCCACTTTGGAGAAATCCAAGTGGAATAAGAATGATCATCATATGTTTATAATGAACAATATTTTGTTAGAATATTTGCTAAATGCTTTTAATTCATCTATGTCTAACAAATTTGTTCATTTTGATAGCGCTTACACCTTATGGAAATTTATTGAAGCACATCAAGGGGACTTGGAGGCGATCCGACAAACTTTGGAGGATCCGGCTTCAAGTTCATATGGAGCGTCATGCACACGCGCACTAGGCGATAGCCCTAGTGAGGTTTGTGAGTTCGAATCTATTAATGATTTACCTAATGATGAACTTGCTTGTGCTAGTGAAAAATTGTTGCATGCCTATAACATATTGCATAAAAATTTTATTGATTTAAAAAGTAAGCATGAGGATTTGAAATCCGATCATGAGTTGTTAGCATCTAAGTTTGAAACTATTTCTAATGAAAATGTGATCCTTAAAGATAACAATGAAAAATTAAAATTGGATCATGATTCTTTGCTTTCAAATTTTGCTAAGTTAACTCATGAAAGAGATAATGTCATGCTAGAAGTAGTAGCTATTAGAAATGATTTTGATAACCATACATGCTCTACTTCTATTATCAATTATGTTGTGCATAATGATGATTTAAATCTTGTTAAGGAACGCATATCATGCTTAGATTCAACTTTAAAAACATGCATTGATAACCATAAGAAACTTATAGACAAGTGTGCTAAATCTAGTGCTACAAAATCACCTACACACTATGCACACTTGTATAGCAAAGTTTACAAATGATCCTTTTGTGGTCGTAAAGGCCATTTAGCTAAATTTTGCTATGATGCACAAAAACATAAGAATATTAATCCTACTTGTGCATCTCATCAAGTTTCTTCATCACATGTACACACACATGCACCTATTTCTCATCATAAGCATGCTAATGTGTATCATTGTGATTTTTGTGGTAGAGTTGGTCACTTAGCTAAGTTTTGTTTTGATTTGCAAAAAGTTTCTAAATCGTAAAATATTTCAAGTAGACCAACATTGTTTCAAAATGTTTCTCATTTGTAAAATAATCTTTAAAGACCATCTTTATTTGAAAATATTCCACGTGCACCTTTTAATGGTCAACATAAGCAAATACTTCCTTTCCATTGTACATATTACAATCGGAAGGGTCATTTGAGTGATTATTGCTATGACCGATCACGTGCACCACATATGCCCAAGAGGGTTCATAACCCTAGGGCTTTGAGTTTAAATGATAGGGGTCATGTCCCTAAATCTTTTGGTACTAAGAGTTCTTGGGTACCAAAATAAATTTAATTTTTAAACCAAGAATTTTAGTGTTCTTATTTTTTCTTTTCTTGGTTTTGAAAATTATGTTTTAAAATCTTTTGGTTATGAAAACAATTTTTCTTTGATCAAATTCTTTTGTTTTCATGATTATTAATTTTGTTTTGATGAGAGGTTTGTATTTATATAACCCCCCGGATTATTGGGTGTTTATTCCCAAATCTTGTTTACCGTGTGCTAAAATGTTCATATGGGTTGATATTAGCTCAAGAGCTAGATAGAGTTGACTCTCTTGATTTTTGAAAATCAATGATGGTTTGGTTTTATGTGATTGTGGTTGATTTATGATTTTATTTGGTTGATTTGTTTTCTTTCGAAAACTCTTTTTGCATGATTCTCATGTTATTCTCTCATTTGTTTTTATAAATCTATTTTTACATTTTTTTGTGTTAATGAGACACTATTTTTCACTTTGATATATTTATATATGTTCTCATTTGTCTTTATGTATGTGAGTTGTGTTTAGCATAATTTCCATCTATGCTTACTCACATATGTTTGCCATGATCTTCATTTCATATATTCATGAGGCATTTTGATAGGGTGAGCAATCCCTATATCTTTCTATGTGCTATACTCACTCATGCATATTGTTAGGGGGAGCTTTCGCTCTCTTATTCTTTTTGTCCCCTTTTTGATGTTGTCAAAGGGGGAGAAATATTATGAGTATATTCTTTTTTATTTATATGCATGTGAATTATAAATTATATATTCATTTCCTTCATGCATATATCTCTTTTTGTAAATTGTTTGTCATCATCAAAAAGGGGGAGATTGTTGACCCTCTTGTTTTAATGATGTTTAACAAACAATTTATCACTAATGTTGTTTGTCTAGTATTTGTGTTTTCTTATTTATTATAGACAAACAACATGTTGAAGGATGGATGGAATAGAGCTTCAACGATGATATCCAAAGGAGGTTGGCGGAATATCGGTGAAGCTTATGCAATTCAAAGTTAAAGATCAAGTTCAAGCTTCATCCGCAAGTGTACCAAGTTCAAGCTTATTGAAGATCAAGATCAAACATGGGTAATTTAGTTTAGGTTTTATATTATGTGTGTTAAGTACGTTAAGCTCAATATCTATATACACACAACACACACATTTATTGGTTTCTTCGTATATATATATAGTTATATATATATACATAAGTTTTGGTTTCTATGCATATATATAGTTATATATATTTATATACATGCATGGTTTTGGGTTTTCATGTTTATAATATGAAATCACATATTTCATATTTAGTATTGTGTTTTTGAAAACATTGCATAGAATATGCAATTTTGTAAAAATTCTGTATTCTTAGTTTTTGGACTTAACAATAATCATATACATATTTTATTAAGTCTATATAATCATTGTGCAAAGTTTTAAAATATGGTTTAGCCTAAATGTCAAAATTCACATGTTTACATATTCGTGTTTTGCACTATTTTTGCAAAATAATGATTTTTCACAAATGGAAAATGCAATTTGGAAATTTTTTTTTAACATGTTCATTTACATGTTTATATACATTTCCCAAAGTTTCATATTTTTCTGACTTCATTTGTTATTTTTAACAATTTTCCAAAAGTCAAAAAATCTGTTTTCAAAACCTGTTTTCCTGTGTATTTGTTCGCGGTCGACCGCCCATGAGTTCAGAACTCAGATTTTTTTTTATGGCTCCCCCCCCCCCCCCCCCCCCCCCCCCCCCCCCCCCCCCCCCCCCCCCCCCCCC